GCCGCCCGCTGGGGAGCACGAGCCGCCGCCGCGGCAGTGGCCCGACCCGCCTCTTCCTCGGGGCGCCGAGGCGCACGCGGCCGCGGCGTGGACGACGACGGTCGCGACGACCACGGCGGCGACGGCGACGCCGACGGCGACGACGAGGCCGACGAGGACGCCGATGACGTCGAGGCCGAAACCGCGGCCGGCACGGCGACGGCACCACGAGGCGGCGTCGCGGCGTCGGCGTCGTTGGGGGCGGTCGTCGTCGGGAGGAGGGGCGGGGGAGGGAAGAGGGGGCGGAGCAGGCTTTCCCTGGCCCTCCTCCCCTGAGATCCTGGCCCTCCTCCCTGGCCATATTTCCACAACGAGCGGTTTGGCCCAGCCTGGGACCCCGGGACCCCCACAGATCGACGCGGGTCGAAACATGGCGCAGCAAGGTGGGCTCCCAGGGCTCCAGTCGTGATTTTTGGCGATGCTGCATTTTGTCGCTGCGTCGGATGCCGGGGCCCGCGCGCTTCTCCAGAGCCTCTCCAGCCTCGCCCCTGCCTCTCTCTTGTGCCTTTCGTCCGATCTCTCTGCCGCCTCCTCGAGGGAGGGGGGGGCGCAGGAGCCTGGGGAGGAAGGAAGCGCAGCGACCTGGGGGAGCCAAGGAGTGCAAAGAAGCGGAACGGATGGGCGACGTTCGAGGAAGATCGAGCACCAAGGGGCTCGGGCGTTTCTGGCCCCTCGCTGGTATCTGGAGGCCTCCGTGGGACCTTCGAGGACCTCGAGACATCTGGAGGCTCTAGGTCGGAAACTGGAAGGTATACGTTACCAGTGGCGGGCTGTTTCTTGAATCCCAGGACTTTTTGACGGTCGGGGACGACGCTGGGGTGGTGTGGTGTATACTTTTTTCCCCGATGTCCAGGGAAAACAGCGAAACATGTATACACCAGGATCTCGTATACACCAGAATCCGCGTCCCTGTGCGAATTTTAGCGCAGGGTCGGGAAACGCGTCGGTGCATAGAGTTCGGTTCCCTACTTGGGAAGCAGGAGTGCAGGATTGCGAATTGTTCTCGCCTTGCATTGAAAAGTCACTGGGGAGACTTGTCTCAGCGCTGCCTTTGGTTCTGTGCCTTGAGATTACCACGTCAGAGCGAGCGAGCAAATACGTCTCCCTCCTTCATCGCGTCGTCGTCGCGGTGTTCGTTGCCGCACCCCTGCCATAGGATATCGGGTGAACCCGTGTGCGTATGTGTGTGTGTGTGTGTGTGTGTGTGTGTGTCATATGCTCTTTTTTCCGCCAGCGCAGTCACTCTGCCTAGCCGCCGACGCAAAAAGTGTGTGTTGTGTGTGTGTGTGTGTGTGTTGTGGGGCGTGGGGTCGTGGTTGAAGACGAAATCATGTGACCAGGACTCTGGGGAAGTCGGGCCTCACACATATAACGTGCTCCGCGTGTGAAACTGCCTTGTAGTTTGGCCTCCCAGCGCTTCTCGCGGGGTCCCCCAAACCCCTGCGGTCCAGAATTCGGCAGGTACGATGATCTGGACTCCCGCCCCGCAGCGAGGCGGACTTCGCCGACGGTGGCCGCGGCAACCGGGACGAGCAGTATTCAGAGCCTCTGTTCCAGCACGACTGGCAGCAGCCTCCTGCGCGAGGTGACTGCCTGACTGAAGCCCAGGCGAGAAACATGGCTGCTGCCGAAGAGTACGAGGAGTTCCTCAATGACAATTCTGCCAGGCTGCTTCGGCGGCTTGGTCGTAGTCGGTCACTGTGTGTGTGAGAGTCATGATGGGGTCGGCTCGATTGGCTAAATCAGTCTTGTTTGGACTGCGCCATGGCACCCAGACGGTACGGGCCTTGGGCAGAGTCGTTGCGACGAGCCGGTCCCATTTGGCTACCTTGGGGCCTTTTCGATCACCTCCATCAGGGAGCATCAAGGTTCGAGGAGTGGTGATCGAGGTTCCTGGATGGCTGTTGGCCTCGTTGGGCCTTTCGGGGGCACCCGAGGCCTTGCACCTTCCGGGACCTCGGGCGGTCTCTGTGGACCTTTGGAGGCCTTCGGTGACATCCCCACCGCGTATTTGCCTTCCTCCTCCGTTCACCATTTGCCGCTCCAGGAGTTCAGTTAGTGGGTCCGAGACCTCCACATATATCCTCTTCCTTTTTCTGTCTCCCTTCTCCTCCCCCCTTTGTCTCACCTTCTCCCTCCCATTAACCTCGCACACAGGAGCCCCTGAGGCAGTATACCTAGCTCCATTCCTCTTTCTCGCAAGTAAGTCATCGTCGCATACCAGGCGTCGTAGCAGGGCGGACTGGGCAGTTTCACCCTGACATTGTTCACAGATGGTGATATTGCAGCTGGAAGTTCAGAGTATTACCCGGATGGGGGGAATGATGTTTCCATGTTATGTTTACCGATTGTTTTTCTCGCACGTAATGGTTCGGAACCTGGACATGATTCATACTTGATGAAACTTGTGGATAACTGGCATTCGATCTGGATCTTGTTCTCGCTTGAAGTATTATATCCG